AGCTGTTGGACCAAGCAGGTCGTCGGGGTTGCCCCCGCCTTGTTGGTGCGGATGTGAGGTGTGCGGAAGCGTGTTGCGTTTCTGGAGGGGAATACATTTAGTTGCTCTTGAGTGCCATTTTTCGTTGGGGTCGCCGTCACGGAAGTTTGAGTCGGCCCACCGTGGATGTGGTTTGCCTGGATGGTACAGCATAGTATCCCATGTTATGGTGCGATTGCAGATATAGCACGGAAGGCGTTCGATTTCCGAGCAAGCACGGGAGGGGCCATCACACGAGGTGGTATGGTTGTGATAGATGCGATATGGATGTGTGGATGGATGGATGGAGGGGTGAGAGAGAGGGAAAAATCAATCAGACGTTGAGGAAGGCTATTTGACGGCACGAGGCACTGCACGCACCTCTCAGCTCGCGCACGAGTGATTCGAGCTCTGCGATGCGATTTCGCAGACGCGTGCTTTCGTCAATGCTAGGGTCGTCTCTGGGAACAAAGAAAAAATCACGTTCAGCACACCATGCCCGAGCGTCGGTGCGCGATGGCACCTCGTTTAGAGGACGTGGGCTCACCGTAGCGCTGGGTCGTCGATTTCGTATACACAAAGCCCTGTCTGGGATCGAGGAGCCACTCGTCAACGACACGAAGTACACCGGACAATAGCGCTCACCAGTCCTAGTTGGATACATCGTTGACACGGTCGTTTTCTGTCGCACTAATTGTTCACACCATCGGTCCATGTTCTTTTCTGGAGAATTTCGGGGACGGTGAGGACGCACCTTCCGTTTGGAAGTGTGGCAATTCAGGCAGCTCTGCGTAGTACGGTTCCTCCTCCTTTTCCTATTTTTGGGTGATTAACGGGGGTAGAGGGGACCAACACGGTTAATTAGTCGGCTAGTGACGACAGCAGCGGTAGATGCTGTCCGGAGCGGGATGCGCACCTGTGGTCGGTGTCGAGGGTGAACTCGAGGTCCATGATCTCGCCCTTGAGCTGCAGTGGCTGAAATTCGTCTGGGGACATCATTGTAAAGGGCGCGGAAAAGGAACAAGCTTCAAGTCGAGGAAGAGGTTGGGCTTAAGAGGTTCCGGGTTCCATTAAGTAACAAACCGCAGAGTCTTGAGATCCAGCGTTGCGAGATCTATTTCGCAGATTAAGGATCTCCCGATACGGCGGGAGTGAGAAGGGAATAGCGAACGCTCCTGCTGTGCAGCCCGAATCGAAGAAACAAACACTTGTCAATCAGCATACCTGCCAGGAATGGGTAGAATACGAGGCCCTGAGGATCAATCTCATGTGGGAGCCTGATGCGTATTTTCGTCCAACACCCGGAAACTATCTTGAACGCCATGTCCAAATCCCAAGCCGAGCATTCGGGATTCGGGAACTACCTCCGTCAATAAATCC